TTTTTGAGACAGAGCCTCAAGCTATCCCCCTGGGTAGAGTGCTGTGGCATCATAGCTCACAGCAACCTTCAACGCCCAGCTATTTTTTGGTTGAAGCCGTCATCGTTTTGGCAGCCCAGGTTGGATTTGAACCCACCACCTATGTGGCTGGCGCCTTAGCCACTTGAGCCACAGGTGCCAAGCTGGAATCTAGCTTCTTGCTCAGGCTGGTATGGAACTCTTGAGCTCAAGGAGCCTCCCACATCAGCCTCCCAGAGTGCTAGGATTATAAGCATGAGCCACCACATCTGGCATGACTTGAGTTATAATGCAATGATTAGAAAGGCTTTCTCTCCATCAAAATTATAAAAACTTTTATTCATGTTTACATTTAAGTCTTTGGCTGTTGGGATTATTTTTTATTTGTTTGTTTGTAGCACACTTGTAATCCTAGCACTCTGGAAAGCCAAGGTGGGTGGATCTCTTGGGCTCAGGAGTTTAAGATCAGCCTGAGGAAGAGTGAGACCCTATCTATTAAAAGTGGAGATATTAGCTGGGTGATGTGTGAGCATTTGTAGTTTCAGCTACTTGAGAGGCTGAGGATCACTGTAGGAATTTGAGGTTGCTGTGAGCTAGCCAGTCTTGGTAACAGTAAGAATCTGTCTCAAATAATAATAATAATAATAATAATAATAATGGCAGTGCCTGTGGCTAGGATGCTGGCCCTCTATACCAAGGGCAGTGGGTTCAAACCTGGCCCCAGCCAAACTGCAACAAAAAAATAGCCGAGTGTTGTGGTGGGCACCTGTAATCCCAGCACTAGGGAGGCTGAGGCAAGAAAATCACCTAAGCCCAGGAGTTGGAGGTTGCTGTAACTGTGTGATGCCACGGCACTCTACTGAGGGCGATAAAATGAGACTCTGTCTCTACAAAAAATAAATAAATAAAAATAAGTAAAATTTTAAAAATTAAAATAAATTTAAGAGACAGGGCTTGGGTAGGTTGCTTGTATGAACTAGAGTACCATGGTGTAATCATAGCTCACTGTAGCTTCCAATTCCTAGGCTTAATCTGTCCTCCCACCTCAGCTCCTGAGTAGCTAGGACTGTAAGTGCAGCCCACCATGCCTGCCTAAGTGTTTTTTAAAGACTGGCTCTCACTGTGTTAGCCAGGGGTCTCAAACTCCTGGCCTCAAGTGATCCCCTGCCTCAGCTTTCCAAAGTGCTACACACCTTGCTGTTTTTTCCTGAATGCTACTTTAAGTTTTTTTCCAAATACAAATTCTAACAGTTTGTCCCAGTACTACTTATTAAACACATTTGTCTTTTCTCCTCTGATTGTCTTATGTGTACAATAAATTGCCATATATTTGGGGTTTTTAAATCTCTTTATCTGTTCTTATGGAAATGCTATACTGTTTAAGTTACTTTAGCCATCTTTTACTATTTTGTAGGGCAGTCTCCCTTCCTTGCTCTTCTTTTTCAGAATAGTCACAGCTATTCTGGGATACTTGTTCTTCCTAAGAACATAAAATCATTTTGTAAAGGTAGAAAAAATCTTAGATTTTTATGTTGTCTTCATTGAATTTTTGTAGATTAATATCGGGATTCTTTTTTGTTTTTTGGAAGACAGAATTTTACTATGTCACCCTCCCATAGAGTGCTGGGGCGTCATGCTCACAGCAACCTCAAATTCTTGGGCTTAATCAATTCTCTTGCCTCCGCCTCCCGAATAGCTGGGACTACAGGAGCCTGCCACAATGCCCAGCTATTTATCTGTTGCAGTTGTCATTGTTGCTTAGCTGGCCTGGGCTGGGTTGGAACCCACCAGCTTCCTTGTATGTGGCTGGTGCTATAACCACTGTGCAATGGGCACCAAACCTAATATAGGGATTTTTTTTTTCTTTTCTTTTCTTTTTTTTTTTATTTTTTTTACAGTTTTTGGCTGGGGCTGGGTTTGAACCCACCACCTCTGGCATATGGGGCCAGTGCCCTAATCCTTTGAGCCACAGGCGCTGCCCTAATATAGGGATTCTTAATTTTCTTTACAATACTGGATCTTCCTAGGTAAGAAAAAGATGTCATTCATTCATTTGTTCATTTAAGTGTTATTTCCTCTTGTAAAATTCTGTGTTTTATGTTAATCCTTTAAGTTTATACTAAGCATTTTATGTTTTTTTT